CTCGGGCCCCCGCTCCACCCGCGGCCCTGAGCCCGCCCGCCGCCGCCCGCAGGCCGGCTTCGGGGGGCCCCTCAAACCGCAGCCCCCCGCTCGCCCTCCAAACCGCTTTCCCCGGCGCTGCCGGCCCTCGGCCGGGCAGAGGGGCTCCCTCTCCCCGGCCCCCAGGTAGGGAGCGGGGGGGCTCGCCGGGCTCCCAGGTCCTCGTTTCCCTTGCGGGGACGTGCCGGGAGCCGCGGGCACGGGAGAGCGCCAGAGATAGCGGGGGTCTGGCACGGAGCTAGCGATCGCTCCCGCCAGGTGCGCAGCTGTAATAAAATCGGGTGGTCCTGGATCCTTGTGAAAACCCTTTGCCTGTTTTCAGTCGATTGCTTCCTTCTCAGTAGTTCAGAGAAACGATTTTTCTCCCCCATGTCATGTTCCTACAAGCAACATTGCCCTTCAGCCCCGGGGCTGCTCCATAGCCTGCAGGCAGGTCTCTGCCTCATCGACCCTGAAACCCTGTTTGAGCAGGCCCCACGTGCCCCGTGTCCTCTGCCCTGTCCTGCTGTGACCACCGGGTGAAGTTCCAGTTGCCCGTTCTTGTCCTGTGCCATCCCACACTGTTGGGGTGAAGCCACCGCATGCAGGTTTGCTGGAACAGCTCTTTGGAAAGCACAAGGCCTCTCGTCTCGCTGTGCAGATCACGAGCAGCGTTTGGTGCAGTTTTGGCTGTGCTGGTGCCCTGCCAGGCGCGGGGGTCTCAGCCTCCCCGGGTGCCTGCATGTGGGGAGGCTGGAGGAGCTGCTGCTCTCCTGCCGCGTGGAAACTGGTGCTCATCTGACATTGCATGCATGTTGCGAAAGCTGGTTGTACTTCTCTGTGCCACGTTATCTGCTGGACTGGCAGGAAGGGAACCCAGACCTTTGGTTTCTACCACCCAGAGATCTCATTAATAGGACGAGCCCCTGTTGTGTTGTCGGTGCTGGGGACAGACCCCCCAAAGGACTCAACAGTCCCACGTTGCAGTGCCTGCCAGAGCCTGCGAGACGCTCCAGTCTCTGCTGTCCCCTCTGCAGTGGCTCCAGAGCTGGGGTGGCCCTGGTTCCCCAAAGCACTGGTTCCCCCGTGAAGCCACTTCTCCTTCATGGCCCCCATGGAAGCCAAGTAGGGTTTGGTGGCTTCTCTTTCAAGTGTGGACATCGGTGGTGGGACGGGCACCTGTGTGTTGGCCTCGCAGGCTGCTCCTTGCCCTCTGTGCTCCTGACTAACCTCTTCCAGCTGCTCCTGTCCCCAAGCCAACCACAGCCCTGCTGTCCCCATGCAGCACCAGTGGTCACATAGACTAAGCGACTTGCTCAAGGCCATGTGGGATGTTTGTGGCAGAGAACAAAGGGACTTGTGCTGGGTGGGAGAGGCCACCCTGGAGGGCCATGGCCTGTCCTTTCCCATGGTTGCTCCCTGAATATTCATGTCCCCTTGTGTTGGGCTAACATGTCACCAGTGCTACAGGAGCAGAGAGGAGAGACTGTGTCCTGGAGGGGTGTGCTCCTAAATCACTGCAGCATGAATGAGATTAAATTCACCCTAAGGGGATTCCCTGGCTGCAGGGGGCTTACTTCTGGTTGCAGTATCACTGCAATTAAAACAAACTCCCTGCCTGGCCCCAGGAGAGCTGCACCCTGCAGGTCTTTTTAACATCATGGCAAGGACAGGGCTGGCAGTACCCAGGGAGATGCTGCCTGCCAGAGCAGATGAAGAGGCATGGCGGGATGTTGGGGGATGCAGAGTTTCCTGCTCACTCCCTTTGATACTGAAAAGCCGGTTGAAGAAACTCTCTAAGAGTTGTTTTGGAGTTTTAGAAAGCAAGCATTCTTTATTGCAGTGCTGGATGCATGGGGGATAATTCCACCTAGTGTGCATGCCACAGCTTCAGCACAAACAGGTTATATGGAGTAACAATTACATATTAATCAGATTAGTATACATATACATAAAAAATATTGTAACTGATTATCATAGTACTGCCTACATCTGATCACGTGCAATGAAGAATTCATTTGAATCGAAGGGCTGCTTTTACGACCACTGACCTATTTGAGATTCTCTTGGCTGTCCTTGAAGTCCTTGTTCTTTGATGTTGAAGCTTAAGGCAATCACATGTGGTCAGTTTCAATATTGTTCTCATCTAGGGTACAGGAACATCTAGTCATAAGAGCAAAGAACTGCAAAACTTATGAGTAACTACCTCTACTAGTTAATTGCTTGGCTATACTTTTGTCTATTGTTTCAGTCATAATGTTAGTATAAGATTTCTAATATTTTTTTACCAAATCTCACTTTTACAGTCATCTAGCAGCAAATCAGTTTCCACAGCTGGTACAAAATATTAAAACCATCAGAATATTTAGACATACCATACAGAATGTATGGACATATGCTATTACCTTCTCCCTTACCCCAAACCTGGGAAATGTCCCCTGTGTGGAGGGACAAGCTTCTTGTCTTTTCCACTCGGTGCTCCTCTTCTTCCCACCATGGATGCACGGGGCACTGCAGCCCCTGCTGGCTCTTGGCAGCCCACCAAAAAATTCATTCAGGAGCCCTGGATGATGCCCTGAGCCGCTTGGTCCCATTCAGTGCCTGGCAGGGACGGGCATGTCCCCACGGCTGCACCAGCAGTTCCACGTGCCCGGCAGCACTTGTGCACAGGCAGGGCACACTCAGCCAGCATCCTCCCCGCCGCAAAGGCAGGAGCTGATGCAAGCAGAGATTCAAGGCATCTTTCAGAGCAAAAGAGAGACTTTTTTATCCTGCTGAGCATTGTTTGCTGTCTGGTGGATGCCCAGCAAAACCCTGCCCCATGGCATTTGCCATCTCAGAGCTGGGCGTTCGGCAAGTGGCTTTATTTCACAGTGGGCCTCATCAGCCAGAGGAAGCAAGAAATTAAAGCAGAGCCTTTTCTGCCATCAGAGCAGGTGGACGTCCCAAGGCCCCCTGGTTTGCAGGTTTGCTTCTCTCTGCCCTCACTTTGCCATGCTTCCATAGAGGTATTTCCTGTGCCCAGGCCACATGTTTTGCTTCGCCTCTGTTTTGCTCAGGTGCTTTAGCTCAAGCATAGCTCCAAATAAGGCTGCTGGATTTTTTTTTTGTATCTTAATTTCCTCTTCTTCAGTCCTGCTGCATTTCAGAGACCTGTTTGCAAGTTGGTGCTGTTAAGAACCCCTCCAAATGGAGCAGTAACTGTGGGCCCATCGCTGAAGACTGATGAGTGGACTGAAATGGAGCAAAAGTCAGGGGTTTTTGCCCCTGTTAACTCCAGGGAAGTCAGTTTGGAATAACTAGAGCTAAAGGAAGGGATCAGTAAAATGACCTAAAGCAGCATCTGAGCCAGAAAGTCTCTTGAGAGCTGGGAACAATAGGGAAGGTAATAGCCTTGCTGGAAGGGGCACGGTGTAATGTTAGCGCTGGGTAAACAGTGCAATAAGAGCCTCATGTTGCTCAATAACTAACACTTGTTTTCTCCCTGCTGCCCACAAAGACCCAGACTCCTTCCTGAAGTCTGCGCGTCTCCAGCGCCTGCCCTCATCCTCATCAGAGATGGGAAGCCAGGACGTGTCTCCTCTCCAGGAGACCAGCAAGGACCCTTTTTCTGGAGACTGCAGCTGCCGGCAGGATGGGCTGACTGTCATCATCACCGCCTGTCTGACCTTTGCCACAGGGGTCACGGTGGCCCTGATCATGCAGATCTATTTTGGGGACCCTCAGGTAAGATGAAACAGCAGCTTTGCAGTCAGGCTTTGGCTCCAAAAGTAGGAGAAGCTCCCTAACTTTCCTCCTTGCCAGCAGTTTAGTGGGGTAAGTGCTGGTGGGCCCTGGCCAGTGTCAATGAGACCCTGGGTGCTGAGTCTCTCTCTGCGATTCCACCTCCAATTGTCTCAAAAGCTTTTTCCTGAAGCTGGGGGTTGTGCTCTGAGAGGTCAGCTGGGCTCTTGGCACCTGTCCTGTGGCCGGGGCATGGGTGGCTGTGCCAGGCAGGTTTGGGGGTGTGGCCGGGGGGAAACGGGCAGCCCCACTGCTCTGTCTGCAGCTGTAGTTTGAGCCAGATGTGAATGCTTTCAGAAAGCAATCCTTAGTTAAGCAGTAGGCGTCTTTCGTACATCTCCACTTGGAGAGAGTTTTACGGATCTGTATGCCCAGGCTTGCCTCTGGAAGGATCTGTCCAGGACCAAGCAGGAAAATAGCTGAAAACAGAGCCAAGCCTCCTGCTAATCTGTCCCACAAAGTAGTGCTGAATTGCAGAGCAAAGGCAGCATTGCCATGGGGTCATACTTTCCTGGAGAACATCTCCTGCCAAGTACTGCAGCCTGAGAAGGGCCAAGGGGCAGCCAGTAGTCACCATCATCTTCTCCATATGCTGCCCAGCAGGGCAGAGCTGCCTGCAAGTCCTCATGAAAGAGATCTGGTTTTTTTTAATTTATTGCTCTTGTCACTGGCATGCAAAATGCAGCCGTTGGGAGTGGAGTGGCTTGGCCCTGTGGCTGACTGGGGTGCAGTGCCGGAGGGAGGCTGTGCAACGCAGCCCCTTTCGTGGCACTGCTGGAAGGGCCAGTCCTGCCCACCAGCCTGCCGTGGCCCTTCCATCTTCGCACTTCCCACGGCCACTCTGGCTCATGCTGAGATGCTGCAATTTGTACTATAGGGTTAAAATGAACTTTTTAAAACTTTTTGTGATTGCATTATCACTGCCACTGGCACCAGGGAAGGATGAGAACAAGCTGTGGTACTGGGAGGGATGCTGCATTCTTTGCAGCGATATTCCTGTTTCCAGTGATCGCATTGCTGCAGTGCAGTGACAGCATGCTGTCGCCCATTGCTCTTGAGGATTAGTCCAACCCTGCTCTGGGGTTATGGAGGACAGGGTGAGATGTGGCCCACCAGCTTAGCATGTCTAGTGTTGAAAGCAGCTAAGCTGATGGCCGTGGCTACATGCAGAGATACCACAGCTGCCCTGGTGCAGGGATGTGCCAAGGGACATGTTACTCCCACCAGCATTTGGAGGCACCTGCAAATGCAGATCAGCCACAGCCTTGGCACTGGCCTCAGGCTTCAGGTGCCAGAGAGCTGGGTGAACATCTGGGCAGCCCCAGCACCCCTCCCTGGTCACAACCACTCTCCTTTTCCGGCAGATCTTCCACCACGGTGCCGTGGTCACGGATGCTGCCCGCTGCACGGCGCTGGGCATAGAGGTGCTCAACAAGCAGGGCTCCTCAGTAGATGCAGCCATTGCCTCAGCCCTCTGTGCAGGAATCGTCAACCCCCACACGTCAGGGATTGGCGGGTAAGTGTTGGTTACTCACCCTCTGCTGTTGTCTGCTGTTGACCTCAGGCAGGTGGTTTCCCTACCAGCTGAGACGTGCCTTCATGGTAGCCCGAGTCCCAGCACGTGGTACCAGGTCTCTGACATCAGGCAGTGGACGTGTCCACGTCTGCGCAGGGACAGGGATCCTTCCTGTGCACCAACTTGACAGTGAGGGACAGAGACCCCCAGGGAGGGAAAAGCTGCGTCTGCCATAGTGGCTGCCAGAAAAATCCAAGCCTTAGGCTCGAGAGAGTTGAAAAAGTGACTACAGGTTGCCGAGCCCCTCTGCGAGCGTGCCAAGAGCTTGCAACACCCTGGGCTCAGTCCCAATGCTTTCAGAGATTGAGTGCTTCCCTCCATAAGCTCTGCTCCTGCTGCAACAGGAGGCTGAGGTCCGAGCCAGGCTCTGGGCAGCAGCCAGGGGAGGCACGGCGGTGAGGGGTGGCCTCCTCCCAGCCCTCATCCCCAGGGTGGCATCCACATGAGCCTGGTGCTCTCGGCTCTGCAGGAGGTCTCAGGAGCGTTGCATAAGTGACCGCCACCCGATAGCTTCTCCAGGCTGCGCCTCGGATTGCTGTTGTAAGCAAAAGCCCTGGTCTGTTGCAAAACTGCTCAGATTAGAAAGAAAATTGCAGATATTCCCAGCCTGGCAGTGGAACACAACCAGTGGCCCTCTGGCCAGGCTGGCAGGGACTGATACAGCCTTGCTGCAGGCTCAGCATGGGGGCTGCCTGCATCCCGCACTGACCCTGGCTCAGTTGTCCTGAACTGCTCTCTGGGAAAGGGCAGCAGCATTCCCCTGCGCCACTGGCCAGCCCTGGGTTACTGCTGAGGCTGGTGACCTGCTACGATGGCCCCACCATGCCGGGACTGGGCCTGGCCCCAGTGGCACCCATGCTCTTCATTTTGGCTGTGTGGCCCGGCTGCTGCAGGGACAGCCGGTGCTGTGCCGTGACCCCTGTCTCGCTGCAGGGGTGGGGTGATGCTGGTCCACGACATTAGGAAGAACAGGAGCTGGGTGATCGACTTCCGCGAGGTGGCTCCCCTGGGCATCCCACTGGAGGGGGACCTGCAGAAGGACACCAAGGTGAGGACCAGTGTCCCATGGCCGACCCCTCCAGGGCTGTGGCTGGCTGATGTCGCCAGCTCTCCTCTTGCCACAACTTTCGGGCCGAGGGGGAGATGCCCGGGGAAGCGACAGGAGGCCTCTCCCACCATGGGAGATCCCGGCCCCTGCAGACATGCAGAGTCCAGGGAAAATACTTCTTTGGCAGGCCCAAAACAGCTGGAGCCTGCAGGGCTTGGGGAGTAGAGGCATGTCCCTCTGGCAGTGGGGACCTGTGAGAACAGGAGTCCCAGGAAGGAGCAGAATCCCATGTCGTTCTGCTGAGTTATTTCTCCTGACCAGACTGGGTTGAGACCAGGATTGAATTTGCCTCTCCTTCCAAAAACTTGCTCCCTAATTTAGTGTGTTGCTACAGACCTCTTCCCCTCTCCTAAAGACCATGCAGACATTTCCCATGTAAACATGACTTGCATCTCCTTGACTTGCAACTGGGCACCATGTCCCATGACCTCATGGGAAGGAGACTACTCTTCCTTTTTGTCCTTCCTATTTTACAGCCAGGTCTGCTCGTGGGCGTACCAGGCATGATACAAGGAATGCACCAAGCGCACGAGTTACACGGGAGGTAAGACTCGAGGCTGGCACAGGCAGGCTGTCCTCATGCCACACAGGCTGTGCCCTGGGGTCCCTGTGGGGGAGCTGGGAGCACACGAGCCCTTGCCATCAGACCCCGTTCTCAGCCACCAGTCACAACCATCAGATAAGGTGTATTTGGAGGCTTGTGTTGACAAATATGTTCATTTTTTGGTACTTCATTTAACAAAAGAAAAAATTCAGCTTGGTCAGGTTTTCTGCAAAGCAAAATCTTGGCTAACAAGACAGACAATAAATGTTCTCTTAGAAATAGGCACAGAACATTTTCATGCATGTCTGTGTATTTTCATTCTCTCTTTAGGTGGACCCTAAGAAGTGTGGCTCTCTTTGATGCCCTGTTGGGACAGGGAGGGAGGGATCTGAATGACTTGTTCAGGGCTGGAGCCTGGCTTGAGATTTTGCTCCAGAGATGCCCCCTCCTCTGTCTTTGCACTGACGTTCCTCTCTGATGCACATCGTGGAGCACTGAGTTGATCCTGCTAAAAAGAAACAACCCACTGAAAGCTCCTTTTGGCCACTGCTGGCTACACAGCCTGGTCTTTCAGGAGCCCCCTGACTGCAGAGCTGAGCCCTGTGCTTGCTTCCCACCACCCTGCCCTGCTGCACCCCTCCAAGGCACGTTTCTCCTTGTCCTTTCTCCTTTGGCAGACTCCCATGGTCCAAGCTGCTGGGCCTCGCGGCCGCTGTTGCCCACAATGGGTTTAATGTCACACACGATTTGGGTGAGTACCTGATGGGCACCCAAGGGTGGCTGCTCAGCACGGAGGAGCACACTGGCCACTGTGCTTGGGTGTGAGGCAGCTGGGGATGTAGTTGGTTATTCATGGGAGCTTAAGGCTCTTTGCACCTGGAGATGGATGGTGTTGGGAGCTGAGCAACGCCTGAGCCATGGTCAGGCAAGAGGAGAGTGTGGTGGCAGCAAAACTGGAGCCCTTTCCCAGGGCTGGTCAGGGGCGGGTCAGAGCAGCCCACGCTGGGCAGCTGCCCAGGGCCAGCCAGGGAAGGGCACTGGGGTTTCTCTGGGTTTCCTTCCCAGCTCTAATGGATGCATGATCCAGCCTCCCTCTAGTTTTGAAATAGGGCAAGAGGCAGCAGCAAGTCTCAAACATCCCCATCAGGTGCACAGTGACTCCAGGTCCCCTGCGCGTTCCTGCACCCTGGCTTTTCTGGATGTCCTTCCCCTTCTCACCCACAGCCAAAGCCGTAAGTGAACTGAAGGACCTGAACTACTCTGACAAATTTCGGGAGATCTTCCTGCCAGATGGCCAGCCCTTGGTGCCTGGCATGTTTGTCAGGCGCCTGGACCTCGCAGCTGTCCTGGAACTGGTGGGGGCAGAAGGGGTGTCAGCTTTCTACAGTGGAAATTTGACCCAAGAGATAATCTCTGAGGTGAGCCACGTCTGTCCCTATGTCTGCCCCAGACCACACAGCACAGCCCGGGCTGGGGGTGCCACCTGCCATGTCATCTGCTGAAGGTGACAACCTGGAGATAAGCCATAGCCAAGTGTCAGCACAATGATGGGGACAAATGCATGGAGCATCTTTCTTTCCTGTCCCTGTCACTGCAGTGGTGTAAGTGACACACGGGTCACATCCACAGCCTACGGAAGCAAAACCTCCATTTTGTCTATAACCAGGACAGACTGTTTTTTCTAAGGAAAAAAATCTTAATTTCAAGCCCCGCTCTGGGCTGTGTTAATATTAGTGGCAACCCCTTTTCCCCCATAAGGAGAGGTGTCCTGCTGTTGAGAAGCAAATTTTTCTTGTTAATGGGACTGTAAGATATAGACTCCAGGAAAATGGTTTAAAAATAAAACTGTGAGCCTTGGGAGCAGAAGATCAGACAGGCTTGGTCCCACTTAGGGTTGCCCTAGTTTAACTCCTATTGTTAGAGGTTCTCTGGAAAAAATAGCATCAACAAAGTAATTATTCTAGTAAAAAAAACCAAAACAACAAACAACTTTTATACCTGGGTAGCTGCAATCAGGGTGGTTGGTGGCACCATTTTTCCCTACCACCTTCGTTCAAGTGATGCACCTTCAACATGTCGTCAGTAATTGGGAAGGGGTTCATTCAGCTCAAGCCTTAGATATTTGTGAGCTCTGTGTTTGGAAATCTCCTAAGGTTCACCTGGACCACAGCAGAGGTGGAGAACGAGGAACAGGAAAAGTCCCAAGCTTGTGGTGCATCTCCGCAGCTAAACCCTGCTTTATCACCCCGTTCCCCAGACCTGAGGGCTGCTGCAGGGACGCACAAACTCTCTATGGAGGAGCAAGGCCCAGGGTTGCAACACCAAAGACCCTGGCAAGCTCTGGGATCAAGTGCGCAATTCCAGCTTTGGTTGCAGAGCAGAGTAAAGTGCTGGCTTCCCACAGTGTTTATTGTTCCAGCAAAGGGGGGACATCAACATGGTGAAATCAAGTAAAGCTCCAAAACACCCTACCCTTTGTTTCTATCCTGTGGCAGGAAGGCACGGGTGCAAAAAAGTGCTCTCTGGGGAATTTGAGATGGTGTCTGCAGTGTGTGGCTGGCTAGGGCTTCTCCCCTTTCTGTGCCATCAGGCTCCTCCTGCCCCACTCCCCACTGCTTTGCCCAGGCTTTCCGCTGGCTGAGCTCCAGGGAGCCAGCTCCTGGCACAGGCTTATCTCAGCTGTTGGGTTCAGCCTGGCCTGTTCTCTGGGACTGCTTTGGGAAGGAGGCAGGGATGCCCTGTAGGGGATACATCTTCTTTTGCAGCTTTGGGGTGGTTTGACATGCTGCCCCCCCACAACGTGCCCTGCATTAGCTTTCCTGCTCCAGTCATTCATCCATTTCTGCCACAGAAGGAGTTTTCTTGACAAGTTAGCTGGCTAGTTTAGAAATCAGAGCATGCACAGGTTATTTGTTCTTGCACATTTTTGAATGGAAATCCAGAGGACTCATAGCAGCTACTCACCCCAGCAGAACCTCTCACCAGGTTGTGTAGCTTCTCCTGGGTGGCGAAAGAGTTGGCCCATGAGCACAGTAGCGCCTGTATGCTGACTGAGAGTATTACCTACTTCAGGAGATCTTAAGATCAGCAGAATGCAGTTGTGATGGTCCTACCTCATCTCCATCATGACTCAACCACAGAAGACCTGCAGTGGAGGGAATTACCCATCTTTACCATGTTCATGAAAATTACCAAGCCCAGTAAATTGTACCTCTGGGATAGTCTTACAAAAAGACCAAGGGTACAGCAGACTCACTGTCACCTGAAATAATTAAAAATAAGTTGGGAATTGTATGCTAAAGATTTCTAGTGATGACGACCTCCTATACTCAGGTTCCTTCTCTCCTGGATCCATATAGATCTTTTATCCTGGCAGTATTCAAATGCTTCATAACCTTTAACATACTCATGCTTGCCACCCAGGGGAGAGAAGGCTGTGAGGCAGTGCCAGTCCCCATTGTCACAGGTAGGCAGAACATCTACAAAGCACCCATGGGGTAGGTGAGCTTTTGGAGGTGAGCTGCAGAGCCTTCCAGCAGTGGTGAATGGTGAGCCAGGCCACCAAGGCCATGAAAGCACAGATTTTCAGGGTATGCTGAGGAACCTGGCACTTGGCTTGGGAATCTCAGTGGTATTTGTTTGACAGTGTGGTGTATGTTCACCTGGGCAAGCTCGAGGAACACAGAAAGCCTTGACCCAGCTTTCTCAGTGTGCGCTGCTTTGCTCTCCTGCACAGGTCCACAACTATGGAGGAGTCTTGGTGGAGGAAGACTTCAGCAATTACAGTGTCACAGTGGAGAATCCCATCCACACAGTCTATCAAGGTAAATGCCTGACCCATTGCCATGCAACTTCAGTTAAAAGTTTGCTTCACCTGGCAAGAGGTGGCAACAGTATTTAACAAGAGTTGAAGTCACAGCTGTGCTGAGGCATCTGCAGAAAAGCCCTCCAGGGTGTTTCCTGCTATTGCCTGCTGACACTGATGCATCCTAGGCAGTTCAAGAAGTTTTCAGCACTTTGAAATGGGCCTGTTTTTTCCTTGGTAGTGACCAATGGTATTTTAATAGTGTTAAAGTATAAAGATGCAATATGATAACATATTGATGCAATGTCTGGATAGAAGCTGGACCATAGGCTAGCACCTACGTCAGAAGACAGTTCCCAAAGTTGATCTACAATGGAGAAAAACATACTTTATGCAAAAAGTTTCTAAAATGTCATTCTTTTCTAGGAATCCCTGTCTTTACTCTCCATACAGCTGTAATGTTGCAAACCCATTTTATCTCTGTTTTTCCATACTGCAGCCCAGAAACCAACCAGCCAACCAAAAAGAACTGAATTTCAGATGTAAAAAAAGCATCCCTATTTGGGCTTCCTTCATCCATCATAGAGAAACAGAAAGATACAACAGGAATGTTTTGGGAAATCCTTTCAAATCATGTTGCTTTCCATTATTTCCCCTCAAATCTGGAAAGGTTTCCCTGTCCTCAAGGACACTAGCTTATGGGAAAGTGTTATAACTGGACAGTATCTGACAAAAGCAGCTTCATTCCTCCCTTCTTTCCTTCACAGGTCATCTTGTTTTCAGTCCCCCACCTCCACATGCAGGTCCTGCACTGATCACAGCACTGAACATCCTTGAGGGCTTTAACATCACAAGTCAAGTATCCAGGGGGAATATCTTGCACTGGATGGCAGAGGTGAGAGGAGGTTCAACATTCACTGAATTTCTTGTGCTGCTAGAGAATAATTTATTTGTTGCTTGGTTGTACAAAAATATTTGTAGGTAATTCCCAGAGGAGAATGACCAAATAGACTGCTAAGGTGTAAATCTGAGCTGTTCTGCTGCCTCAGGTGGGTGCAGGTGCTGGAGCCTCCTGCTCAGCTGAGCTCTTTCTTCCTTAGGCAGAGCTTTTTCAGAAGAACAATCTGTGACTTTTGCCCATTTCTTGTACACGATCATCTCTTCAGAATGACCCCACAGCAGCTGAGGGTGGTCCCATCTCTTTCCTCCACCTCTTATGCTCCAGTGGCCCTGGCCATACCAGAAAACCAGAGTTCTGCTAGGGCACTGCAAGGAGAGTAGCAATCTGATGCTGCAAGCAAAAACCTGTATGTGGCAATGACAAGGAAAACTGACCCAACACTATATTTTTTCAAAATCCTTACATTTTACCCCACCTCATGATCTCAGTGGTCTAGATCATGATTTTTCTAGTATTTAGGGCTGTCAGCCCTACCAAAACATTGCAGCTTCCCAGGAAGTCAAGCAAGTGCTCTGTTTCATGCCCTGCAAGGAGTCCTACATTCTTAGATGCTTAACAGATTGACAGCTGGGTTTTATGAGTTGGGAATTTTAAGCAAGGATGTAACCACATCCTTGTAGCAGACAGGACAGTGGGTGCTTGGAAGTTATTGCCTCTCAGCAAAAATGCAACAGCTGGAGGTGTTACATGCTGCTAGGCCTGTGCAGAGGCAGAGGAGGTTGACTCAACTAAATTATTTTTGAGCTCTCTTTAGGAAGCTTTGGATGAATCTGTTTGCTCTGCATTTGCACCAGGCCAAGAGTTTCACCCATTGGTTATCATGTCCCAGCTTAGGAACAGCAACCTCCAGATAAAGGGCAGTCACTTCAGAAGATGTGTAACCCTGATCTTGGGATCTTACTTGGGATGGCTGAACACATGGCTGAGATTTAGTGCTAAGTCAGCACCAGATAGTCCAGCCCTGGGACAGCCATGACCAAGATGACCTTAACCTGTGCCTGTGGCGTGGATGTGGTCTGCTTGTTTCAGTGGAGCTCTTCCTTGGCCACCAAGCCTCTTGTACCTCCTCTGTATGGTATGGTGGTCAGGAGACTGTTTCATGGAAATGCCACCTTCTCCAGAAGTTAATCATGTTCTACGCTGTACATCAGAAGATAAATGATGATGCTTCAGGAGAAGTTGTTGATGCGTGGCACTTGTCAAAACAGAAGTCACATCTAGCTATCTACCTGCAGCGTAATGTACTGTCTTGAATCTTGAATGAAAATGGGATGACCTGCAAGCTGAAAGTCTAGTGCATTTCTGCTAGGCCCAAGCTGGCTTGATTGAAGAGCACATTTCGCCTTGTGGTTGTCCCCTGGCTATGCACTGTAACACCAGGGCTGGATAAACTGTGTCTTTTGAAATTGCATCTTCCCATTTTTGATGGACTGGCTTAGGCAGGATTCTGCATGTATGAGAAACCAGATGCCTTCCCCTTTTTACACCATCATTCCCTTAAGTGTGCTGGGACTAACGCTTTCTGTTCAAACACTTCGGATGACTTACAACTAGGAACATGGGTAGCAGCTGGTGAGCAGAATAGCTCATTTCTGCTCGGCAGTAGTGCTGCACCAGTGGAGCTGCCATCCAGAGGCAACGGCAAGCCCAGGACCCACTGTCCCACTGGGATTCAGTGTGATCTCTGCTGTTGTGGCAACCACTCAGGAATGGAAATAGAAAGTAAGTGGCATCCTGGTGACCCTGTCTGCCAGCTGGCAATGCAGCTGAACCACTGAGCTGGGCTGAGCCAGCTGGTCAGCTCCTGCCAGGCATGTTCCACCTTGTGCAAACACTGCTGGATACGCTTGGCTCCCACAGCACACAGTTTGCCATGCCAAACTGATGCCTTTTGGTCCCCATACTCATGTGTGGCAGCCCTTTACACTGAGGTATTCCCAGGACCAGGCTTTTAGACATTTTTCTTCATAGGCTTCAGCCAACATGCCAGGAGACCAGATACCTCTTCCTGTTTGGAGTATCAAAAGTTGTATTTCCAGGGCCACTTAAATGTTTTTCTTTCTTTCTTTGTGTGTTCAATTCAGACATTAAAAATAGCCCTGAGTCTAGCTAGCAACCTGGGAGACCCATCTGATGATGTATCCATCACTCACGCTGCAGAAGACATGGTGAGGTAGGTCTGAGGCTGACAGGCACAGTGACAGTTGCAAGATATGTGGTTTGGATATCATTCCTGGATTTGCTCTTTTCAGTGCACAGGGGAAACTGAGGTTATTCTACTTCTGGTTTACTGAGGAAAGGTCAGTCCTTGGGTGTCCTCCTAGGGCTCACTCTTCAACAAGGATCACAGCTGATAGCATGGGGCTCTGGGGAAGGGTCATGGAATGTCCTCACACAGAGGTTTCCTGGAGCCAGCTTGATCTTGAGGGTTCCTCCCACTTTCTCACCTCTCTAAATATTCCTTCTCAGCAGGTCGAACAAACAGCCATCCACATGACCATGACCACACATGCAGTTTCTGGCTCTCCCTTCCCCACCATGGGGCTCGGGTGCCTTTGCAGTACACCCAGACACGTGGGAGAGGCCAGGCCTGGGGTTTCAGCCCAGCCTCCTACCTCAGAGCCAGGTCCAGCCATGGTTGGTGGCCAGAGCAGGACCTGACTTGCCAGTCCTGGAGGACTGGCATTCAGCCGGGTGGTGCCAGCCCTTGTCCATTGGGGGTGAGTTTACCACTGTAGACAGAGCCTGGGAGGTCCACAGCATTGTCTCTCTGTGTGGACTGAGCCATCTTGTCTCCTTCCATCGGGTGAAACAAAGGAGCTGCCTGTCCTCAGTGCCAGCCCCCTCAGGGAGACACCGCCAGTAGCTGTGTAGATGTACCCCCACAGACAGACCAAGAGACGTTCAGCTTCCTAGGCTCATGGCTTGCTTTCCTCTTTCCCTCCCTCATTGCTGAAGTAAATCAGAAGCTAATTCCCTGCGCCAGCTGATTAATGACTCCCAGTCCTTCTTGTCTGATCTCCACATGCCTCACTTCTCCGTGGAGAGTGGACCCGCTGCTAGCCAGGTGCTTGTCATGGGGCCCGATGACTTCATTGTTGCTGTTGTAAGGTAAAGGATTTACTTCTTCCCTCCATAATGTACTCAGAGGGTGGGAGCAGGGAGAAGAAAACAGGTTCAACAGGACAGGATGGGACCAGACCTGGAGCAGCTGGGCTCCTCTGTCCCAGTTAGTCCTGCAACAGAAGAAATAGTGAAGATGGGGTGGAGATGTGTGAGCTGGTGCTGCTCTGCCCTGTGCAATCCCACAGCCCTCTCATAGTGAAACATGTCTGGATTGGCCTGAATCTGCTCCCTGGATGGCCAAATTTAAGGACTGATGGGGGCATAGAGACAGGTCCATCAACCTAGAGGGGAATCCTTAAACACAGGGAGGGACAGAGCTGCCATCGCCCACATGGTTTCTGCTCCTAAGTATGTGGAGACTTTCACTCCTCACATCTAACCGGCCCTAAAGAACTACCAAAGAGTCTATCAAGCCAGGATGGGACAGAAAATTGGAGCCCTGAAAGCCTCGAGGTGCACAGAAATCTCTGGGAGGATTTTTATGAGATTTCTTCATGTTTCTTTCAGTTCTTTGAATCATCCCTTTGGCAGTGGAATAATAACACCCTCTGGAGTCCTCCTGAACAGCCAGATGTTGGACTTCTCCTGGCAAAATAAAACAATGAACCATTCTATTCCCAGGCCGGTAATGAATGACATGACAAATTCTTTATTTGAGCTGTCTGTACCATTTTTTTCAATTTTATTCTCATCTCCACAACAGGGAGGCTATTTAATGCCTTATTAATAATTGAGAGACAATAGTCTGTAGGAAGCTCCTATTTTTTCATTATATGAGCCACTGAAACGGAGTAAACAGAAGGTTTCATGTGTATCAGTTATCATTATAATGCAGTTTTATCAAGTGACGCTGTACATCTCAGCTACCTATTTTCCCTGCAGTCCAGATGCACTTTAAAGCAACCATCCTTTTCTGTGGACTTGAATTAAGGAGTCTCTTTATGAATTGCTGCTCTGCAGGTTTGAAAGTAACAGATAGCAGAAAAAAAATCTTCAGGTCTTGGAAAGAAACAATTGCAGACCAGTATTGGTGGCTTCCAGTGCTGCCTTGTTGTTTCTTCTTGCTGTGTATTGAAAAACCATCCCACTTTGCTGGGTTGGTACTTTAGAAGTGGGTGAATGGGTCTGTGTACCTTCTGTAAAAGAGAGCGATGGTGTGAAACGGGACAGATCCTTTTAACACCAGAGAGCATTATCATAGCAGTGAGGATGTCAACCTTGTAAAACTACACAAGTGCAATTGTTGGCTGAAGCATAAAGAGTAAGAGGTTAATCTGCACAGCTTGAGCACCAGCAAAGCTTTAGTCAGCTTGCTGAATTTTTTTGGTCTGTCTTTTCTTCAACTGCAGCAAAATCTCATTCAGCCTCGGAAACGACCCCTGTCTTTCCTGTTACCCACCATCGTGAGACCATCCGAGGGGATGTGCGGGACGTACCTATGTCTGGGAGCTAACAATGGGGACAAAGCCTTGAGCAGCATCATTCAGGTCAGTGCTGCGTCTGGGCATCTGCCCTCTCAGAGCAGCTGTTGAGCTCAACACTGAATAGGGTCCCTTCCTGTAGTACAGGCTTTCCCTTCTTTACGTCCCAGGCTCTGTTGAAACTGGTGGCCACAGGATTACCAGTTCATTCTTTAATGTCACCAGTTCCACATATTTGTTTTTTCAAATCTCTAAAAGCTACCAGTTTAATTCTCTTGCACCTTTCCTGGTGGCACCACTCATAATTGTAGAGGAAAAGCATCTTGGCAAAATCTATAATGGTTTTGTGTCATTCTAATACCTGTTAAAAGCTTTTTTTAAGGATCATTAGGAAAAAAAAAGGAGCATTTTGTATTCAGAGAATTGCAGGAGACTGGCAGCCCTTTAGACCTTTTCCCCATGAAAAGCTCCTTTTAGTGCATTCCCAACTGAATTGCTCAGCACTTGCTATAACTTGGGCAGCTCCTCCTAATTTATGATTTGTAATGAGGTGAAGTACTTGCCAATAGCTTGAGTGCATGCACAACAGCAATGGATTGCTAAAAAGAAAGGCACAACAAGAATGGCTCCCATTTTCCTTACCTTTTGGAAGGCATTATTTAGAGCAGAACTAAAGCCAACCATTGCTTCCTAATGCTTTGTTTGGAGAAGTCACCCTGAGCTTTTGGCTGTAACTAACAAGTATTTAGAGGTTACATCACATTCCAGACACACAACTCTCCTAATTTAGCAGGAACTATGTGACAAAAAGCCCATGCAATCCTGAAAAGGTACCACTTTTCCACCAACAATATACAGGCCGTATTTCAAGGGCCTCTTTGTATGTGCAAAACCCTGCATTAGTTCATGCAGTTTGGTAAATGGTTCAAAATGTTCTTTGCCTGCTGCATCTGCAGATGTTGGAGCCACCAATTAGGGGGATGCTCGGGAAGTTGGCTTCTCCTATTCTCATTACTTGTTTTTATTATTGAGGATCTTTTATTCTTTTGCAGGTTTTGGTAAATGTTTTAACATTTAACAAGAATCTGAGTGAAAGTTTGTCACTTGGTCGACTTCACCCACAGCTTCAGTCTAACATCTTGCAGGTTGACAGTGAGTATGGACACTGGGTGTGGTGCAGCCTACAAATCTAGCGTGTTTAGAAAAGGAGCAGGATTTTCTTAGCACACTGCTGTGGAAGTGCGACAGCCCAGCGCACAGCTCACTGTGTTCTAGGGTCCTCAGTGGGTGCAGAGGGTTTTGGGGAAGACAGGAAGCAGCAACCTAGCTTCTTCAAAGCTTGGAGCCCTTACTGAGCCATGCCCTCTCCCTCTTGTCTTGGGAATACTCCCTGGCCCCTCCAACACCACCTGTCCAAACTCTTCCAGGTGCTTCTCCCCAACCCTCCCTCTGTCCCAGCTCAACTCGTGGTAGCAGCCTTGTCCTGTGCTTAAAACCTTTTGCAATCTGATGCCACTGAAGATATCCAAATAAACAAGACTGCAACCACAACTTCACCCAGACACGTCCTGAATGCTAGCAGATCTTCCTACACTTTATTACCACTGCCATAAATTATATTCTTTCACTTTGCAGTCCGTGTCCCTTAACTCCACCAGCTGGGGAGAAGACAAGGCTTATGGCAAGGCTTGTAGCTTGACAGTGCTGGAAATGCAGCATCAATGCTGACACTCTGGAGACTGTACTGCCAGCTCTTGTCCTTGTTATTACAAGTCTTCGTCTATCTGTTGTTTTTCACAAAGCCCCATACCTTACCGGAGTGAAACATAAGTGAAATTTGGTTCTTATTTCACACAAAATAGCCAAAGTTTCTAGGCCTTCTCATTTCAGAGGAAAATCTAAAATTGTCTGGTGAGTGTGACCTGCAGACTTGGAAACTAGAATTAATTGAACCAAATCCAAAACTTCAGAAGGTCCTAATTTGTGGGTTTGGACATTTGGCATCAACAAGATATATGTTAAAACACATCTGCAATGTATATAGCTTAAATAACTGTGGGATTTCTGTGTGCCTGCTCAGTTTGTCCAGTTGCATTCCCAGCTTTGTATCCTCAGGCACTTCTATTCAGGCAGAAATTACAAAACATCAAACAAACAAAATAAAAGCAGAAGAGCAAGGAACCTAAGGTAGATGGCTGGAAGATTAAGAAATACATGAAGGGGAAGTTGGAAGGCTTATCACAAACTTTGTCATTTGGCAACTTGTTTTACTATCTGTTTTGAGCTGCCTTACATCTTATTTTGACTAATAACTGTTAATACTATTATTTGTAACTAAGCTCTTAAGAGCAGGGACTGCCTTGTGTACTGTAAGAAGAATAACTACAATAGGTGCCAGATCCTTTCATTTCCCCCACCGCACAGAGCACTGCCCATCTCTGAACAGCCTTTGCTGCTGAGAGCTGAGAGAGTGAGTGCTGGTCCTCCTCGACCGCTTGGCTCTCCCTAGCTGGGATGCCTTCTGAAGAGGCTGCAGGCAGTTTTCTTCACACTGCAGATCCCAAAAGGGTTAGAATAGAGGTTTGCGTCAAAGGCAGCACTGGTTTCAGTTACAAATTCCTCTTTCAAAATCCCTGCAGGTGAGTTTCCTGAAGAAGATATCGAATTTCTTGTAGCCAGGGGCCATCAAGTGGATAAAGTCAAAGTGGTCTCCCTAGTTCATGGAGCCAGAAGAACCAACAGTTTCATCATTGGCCTGAAGGACCCCAGGAGCGTGGATGCTGCCGGAGCCACAATATTGTAGCACCTCCCAGATGACAAGTTCACTGAACAAGGCTTAGACAAATCCACCCAAGTGATGTGCATGTTCTGAAATGGCCCCTTCTCCATCCCCAGGGTGGTAGCCCTGCATACACACTGCTGAGTAGACTTTCTGCATTCCCCACCCAGGATGACACCAGAGGGATTAGCTGCACCAACATACAGCTGTCTGGTTTTTTAATTTATTTTATTTTTAAATTATTTGAATTGCAAGCAGCTCAGTCTTTGTTATAGGAATGCAGGGAGCACACTTTTCTTTTGGCAGAGTATTGCTAATAATTCAGTCTTTTCAAAAGCCCAATTCTAGCCAGCATCTTCATTTTAGTGAGCGGGAACATTAGCAAAGGAAAAAACAGCTGCTGATGATACTGTCATCTTCATCTCCCTGTCTTTCCCAAGTTCATTCTTTGCCTCTTGTGTAAACCAATAATTAATGCAGCCTAATGTAGTGTTTATAGGTGCCTGTAGCTGGAATATCAGGGAGTCCTTTAATACTCTGTATGGGCCAGCTGATTTTTACCGCCATGCAGCCTCCTGTGTTAGTTCCTTTTCTCACATCACTACATACCTTGAATTTCAGGAGTAAGTATTTTGAATCAAGTTACTGTGCAGACTCACTGGCAGTCTGATTTTGTAACTGGAGCAATGGTTTTCAACTTCTGACAACTTGTGCACCCCCCAATAGTTTTCTTATAGAGGTTCAGCCTCTTCCATGGTGAATTTAAGCTTAGTGGTAGTGGGCTTAATTTTTTTAGATACCTTTTGGGGATATCTTAGCAGTACTCCACAAACTTGTAAAAATCCACACAAACCATGGACCGAAAACCACATGGAGAGTGTTTAGGTAGGCTCAGGGTTTTCCTTACACTGCCTTATCTCAGTCTGCTCTGAAAGCCTGAATCATGTAATCCCTACATAGAGGCTTGGGATATTCTGCTTACTAAATTCATGCCTGTACTTCAGCTCTATATTTTAATACTGGCGGCTCTATTGCAAAAGCTGAAGAGAGTGAGAGAAAAGGTACAAACCAAACCAAACACTACTGAGATAATTTTCTGTCTGCAGCATGTAGTGCAAAATATAAGAATACTTCTTCATTTCTTGTCTGAAATAGACTGAGGAAATAATACCACATCCAACAGCTGCACCATTTCATTCAACCCACATTTGGACATTTCCTTCTCTTTTTACTAGCAAGTTAGACAAAGACACCTGGCACTAAAATATTCTAGAATTTGATCATTTCCTGCAGTCTAAAATTTGATGATTTCCTTCATGGTGCAAACGCATCTATGGCCACTGTACATATTATATATGTATGTCTGCTTATGGTTGTCTTGTTCTTTCATTTGATGATTACACCAGTCACCCCCAACCCTCCTCCTGAGGGACCCTGAAACACTCATCTATTTGTAACGCACCTTCTAATGCTCATTGCCATTTGATAGGGGGAGCATGCGGGTCATTTTGGGGCAGTCAGGGCGCTACTGCAGATAATCGGACTAATCGTTCCTGCCAGCTGAGGATCTCAAAGCATCTTATGTGAAGCCTTGCAAGTTGCGCTGAGGAAGGACAGAGATGCTTTTATGCTCCGCTGAAGCGCAGCTACCCATGAGAAGAGCATGGCAGCTACCTAGCAGACGGGAACATCAATGGTGTTTTCTGCTGCAATGCATCAGTGGCCTCAGCTGAGAGACAGGGGAAGTACAACATTGTCTTTGGGAAGTTGTCTTCTCTGCCACCGCAGTGCCTGTAGGGCAAGAAGAGACTTTCTTCACCATAGGGACATCAAATCTGTTTATTTGTTTTTCTGTCATCAGCACTAGAGTTGGTCACAGCCCAAAGTCAGAGTGTTCATAAAACTTTACCTGTCTTGGAGCAGACCTCTTCAGGTTTCACAGGAAGGGAAGGATGCAGTTATGTGCATTGAATCTCACTGGTGGAAATTTGGGGTTTTCTAGTACGGTACAGCAGTAATCTATCCCTTGGGCACAGAGGTTTACTGTGCACAGCCGCAAAATAAGTGGTCAAGTCATCGTCACTTCAGTACTTTGCATGGAATATCACAAAACACTTTGAAAGATAAAATTCCTCCTTATTAACTGAATTTGCCAACTCACTTCTGATGCTGGAAACTGTGTATTCATTTGGGAGTTAAAGACTCTGGTCTTGATTCAAAAGGGCACTTACACACCCCAAGGTACAATTTCACAGCAGTTACTCAGAATCTGAAAATAAAGCATGTTCCTAAGTGCTCTGCTGGATCATGGACTATGTTGCAAAAAAGAGAAAATTTAAAATAATCGGAAGATGGGACTTAGGCCTCTAGGTCATGGCTAAGAGAAGTAAAGATATTTTTAATTATTTCCCATTTTCTCTGTTTAAAAACAGCATCGGTATAGCACAGATGTATTTGATACAGAAACCTTTAATCTGCTAATTGGCCCAGTGTCTCTGATACTTTGAGTCCATCTGTTGGGATGAGATCTGATGAATTTAATGTGAGGTACCAAGAAATACCCAATGTTTCCTTCTGTACAGGTGAGAGACATTGTGAAATAAAGGGCCATGTTCTGGAGACATGTGTGTACAGAGTAAATGCATTGATTTCAACCCGGCTATTGCAGACATCTAACAGCTCTGAAGCAGAATTTGTCCTGAAGCTTTTACATGCAAGTGTCAGCGAGGAGCTTGGAACACAAAACACATAATATAAAGTGGCTGAGAAAAATAATAAAGAAATTTTTTAAAGGAACAAAATAAACCCAAACAAAATAAAGAAGAAAAAAAAAAGATGCCTTTGCCAAATGTGACTATTATGATCTGGAATGTGATCAGCTTGGCTCTGCCAACATTTCCATTGCTCCCCATCGATGTATACTGGTTTTTACATCGGGATAAGCTGAAGACAGGCTCTGCCACTAAATGTTAGCTCAGTTTATTGGTATTTCTCACAAAGGCTCAATACCATTCATGAGCACAGATAACAAGCAGTGCTTTGCTAGCTTTAGATACTGCTGTTCACCTGTGTGCATCAAGCACCAATCACTGCATATAAAAGCCTAAATGGGGGATGAGGCAGAAGTCAGTGCCACTGTCCTGCAGCTGGGGGGACGAGGATACTCTGGCCCCTCAGCTGTGCCATCTCGTTCCCATTGCTGCCCCGTTCAGTGCCCAGACACTGAGGGGGGCTGGAGCCTGCCTTGCTCCCACTGGTCTGGATAGGGGCAGATGCTGCTGGGGCTGTCGGGGTGGTTAGAGCCACGCTGCCAGTGTGGCTTGGCACAGCGCCCGGCACAGGCGCTTGAAGGGCCAGGGATCCCCTGCTGCCCCTGGGCACGGGTATGAGACTGGCCGGCCCAGGGCACACTGGGTGTTTCTGCACTCTAGCAAGCAGCTCCGGCAGCATGCCCCGCTCTGTGTTTCAGGGGACCGGGGGCCTGCCAGGGTCAGGTGAGGGCAGAGCAGCCGCTGCCACTGTAGCCAGGGCAGCAGGTTCAGGTCCCCAGTCTCCAGGGATGATGACTGGTGTCCTACAGCTCTGCTGCAGCTCTGCCAGCATCTCTCTGAGGGGTCCCTCAGCTGGGGCAGTGAGTCCAAAAGTGCCTGTTAAGTGTCAGCTGGTCGGTCTGCTGGCTGCCAGGAGCTGGATCCTCCAGGTGGCTGCTGGGTCCCTCTGGCTGGACCATCTCAGAGCCTCCTTCCACCTGCTGCACAACTCGACAGGCTTCCATGGGCTGATCCTGGACCCTAACTTGTTGGAGAGAAAGGGGAGTCAGGCCTCGGTAAACACCATGAGGTGAAACCTGCAGCTCTTTCATGAACACATCAAAAACACTGAAGATTTTGTAAGGTTTTGCAAAGAATCAGGTGGAGTGGGAAGAGCTCCTGTAGCACCCAGGTATTTTCATCACAACGGTTTTGGAAAGATCTTTCATACTTCATTGATAGACATCTGCATGCTAGCCAGGGAAAGGAGAGCTCTGACAGGCAGAGCTGGTTTTTGAAGAGGCAGGGCACTATCTAAAATGAAACGCATCTGTGTGGAGGGCAGAAGAGCCTATGGAGTAGGAGCACTCGAGCACTGAAAAAAGCTGCCCAAGAAGGGCCCTCCAGTGACCACAGCATTTTCAGATGCAGATTGTCCTCACAGAGCTGACCCTGCTGCCTGGGGCCAATATCCCATTTGACAAGAGCTACTTGGCAGCTATGACCCTTCATCCACCCCGACTGCCCCCAGCATGGCTGGGGCTCCCCACCCAGCAGCTCTCACCTCTCTGTCCATCCAGAAGGAAAGGATGACTCCTGTGTATCCCCACCCTATCTATCACGTCTGGAGCCAATTGCCCATTTCTCTCTTTCTCACCATACTCACAGGTTAACAAAATCCCACATCAAAAGTGATTGTGACTGCAATGCAACAGGTCTCCCTTCCTTCTCTCTAAGTGAGCATCGTACTGGTATTAGAGCAGAAATTATTTTGTTCAAGTCATTGTATAATATTTAAGTTTGGAAAAATCTAAAGCTAGTCATGAGTCTACCTACTTTTTCTGTATAATACCTTTCCTTTGAAAATACTGTCATATGAAAATGCATGTAGATATAACCACAGTTTTGATTGTTGTGATCTCAAATGCATTTCTCTGTTCTTTTTGCGGACAATGAAGCTTTCAAACAGCTGTCTCTGTGTGTTGTATGTAGCCCTCCTTCTCTGCAGGTGATGTTGTATTAGTATGTATCCTTTGTTTTGCAGCAAAGCTTCAGAATCCAAACCAAAATGAGAGTCTGCTCATGGAGGGCCTCCACAAACACAGAATGATGGGACAGATCTAGCCCCCCCAAAATCTCCTGTCTTGGTTATGGTGTACAGAGGCCAGGTGACATCTAGAAATGTTTAAGCTACACAGCAGGGATCCAGGCTGTGCAATAACCTCAGCTCTGGAGATCTGCCTACAGTGCACCTTGGTGCAGAGATGCACCTGCACATGCAGGCAGCAGGATGCCAAGGTGGTAGTGCTTGAGCTGTCCCATATTTCTTACCCCTTGCAGTCCTCCACATCATGTTATTCCCTTCTCACCACTGCCAGGTATCCGTCTCCTGCTGCATGCATCGGCGGCCAGTGAGCCGCATGCCTTTCGCTAACCACAGTATGCAGGATGGCAATCCCACTTCGGGTTCCTCCAGCTGCCGGTCTTAAGCAGAGATGCCTCAGAAGGGTCCTCGGTCGTGTCCTGTCACCCTGGCGTCCCTTCAGCTCTACCTTCTCTTTACTTCCTTACACTTGCGGCAAAGCTATTTTGAGAGAATGGGGATTAATTTTAGTCATGTGGAGTTTCTGCCAGTTCTGGTCTTTCCCAACAGCGAGCAGCAGCATACGGAAAAGCCATCAGAAGCAGCATGCTGCAAAGCACTAAATGGATGTACGAGGCACCAAGCTGCGAATGAAGGAAGGGTTTGTTTGCAAACTCCATGTGTGATTAGGCACAGGAAAGCTACCTGTGTGTGACCTCTCAAGCGCAGATCAGAAAGTCACAGCACTTAAATGGCTTGAGCAGATCCTAGTGAGATACCTCAATATTGTGCTTCCAGAAAACACGGGTTTTGAAAAATGGTGTTCTACTTGTTCTTGTTTGCTATTGCGTATGAGATGTGTCCAGTATTAATGTAGATAATACATACGAAAACAAGCAAACAAACCTTAAGGACAATCTTGCAAGACAAGCACAGCAGCATTGATGGGAAAGATGGGGATTTTTTGGAAGCAGCACTCTGATCTAACTGCGCCAGAATGGGAAATGCATGAGCCTTTGGGGGAAAATCAAGCTGGAGGAGGAGGAAGTTAAATGCTGCTGGGTTAAGAAGCGTCTCCCGAAATAGCAGAAAGCATGAAGACAAGTGGGAAGGAAAGGTACTTCTCGGGTAATGAAGAAGTCTTCTCTCAGCTTCCTCATGTTTCCAGCCTGTCTCAAAAGACAGAAGCAGTGTAAGGCAAGGCACAGGAAACATCCATGCTAATGGAAACAGAAACTCCCTGATAGACAATCAGATGTAATGAATGTTCCTTGTTACCACTCCTGTGACTGACGCCCTGTCTCCTCTTCTGACACCTCTGAGGGTCTCCCGGGGCTTGGGGAAGGGCTTTTCACTTGTCCGTAGCGCAGGGGAGAGGTGCTGGAGGTGGGGTCCCTATCCCAGAAACTGGAGAAGGCATAAACAGACAAAGGCATGAATAGAACAGTCCTTCAGCAAAGAATTACTCAGTGCTTGTCTGCCAGCAGGGAGCTTTAGAGCTGCAAAAGCAAAAGAAACAAGCAATCTGCTTGCAGCTTTCCACACACCCAACAATATTTAATTATTAAGATAAGTCCTATATTAACCATGATGTTCATTATTTTGTTTTGTTTTGTTTCTTTTTACAGAATGCATTTATATGTCAATTTAAAAAGATATTTTTTCTGTGTTGCGAGCTATAGTGACAAATGAGATGTGGGATTATTGTATTTAAAAGGTTTTGCAAAATAAAAAAAAAAATTTCCTCTTTCCATGTCATTTACCCTGCAGTAATCTGCATAAAGCCAATGTCAGGGGGGCTGTGAGGGCTGGCTCCAGCTGTGCAGCCCCATGGGCCTGCACCACCCCTCCTGAAGCCAGCAGATCCTACTCAAGTTACTAATGTTAACTGTACGTATTTTTGCAGGACTAAAGTCTTTATTTTTCCCACAAGGGACTTTTGATTGTTTTACTAGCCTGAAATAGTAATTGCCATGTGTTTCTTTTCTTTACCACTGCCAGGTAATGGCCTTCTGCTTAAAGCAATGACTGGCAGGAAAAAAACCAGACATTTCTGCAGTGCCACTGTCTTTTTATACTAATTTATCATTTCTCCTATTAATAAAGGTTTGTAGGAAGAGACAAACTGGGAGACTCTGTGTCCAGCAAGCCATTCTGGGGGGATCACCTCCACTGTAAAGCCCCGCCGTGCCCTGAGGTGTCTTTTCAGGGAGGGAGCATCACCCACTGGGGACTGCCGGCCTGTTTGTTAACCAGATAAAGAGACTTTTAATTAAAATTCAGCATCGTGGCCTCTGCTGAATCCGTATCAGGTTGCTCTCTGGCTTCTTTCCCACCTCCCCAGTGGTAAAACAGTGCAATTCACTGAAATTTATAAAGTCTGAAATCTTCAGATGAAGAGTTCCTCTGAATTAAAAACCACGTTTCCTAGTCATTTCCCCGCAAAGGCCTTAATTATTACTTTTTCTTCAGCCTCATCCAGGAAACACTTTTTATTCCGTCGCAGAACCGCAGGCCATCCCCGCGGCCCCCACCGCCGCTGCCGCGGGCGAGGCCCAGGCTCTCTCCTCAGGCGGGGCTCCGCCCTGACAGCCCGCCCCGCCTAAGACGAGCTCCCGCCGCTGAGGGGGGCTCCCACGAGGCCAGCGGGTGCCCCGCCCGTGGGGCGCGCGGGACCCCACCCCGCGGGGAGCTCCCCCCCCGAAGAAGCAGGTGGCCGGTCTCCCCGGCGGGAAGGGCTCTTCCCGCGGGCCGGGCAGAGCGGCGGGGCCAAGACGTCCCCGCCGGAGGGGACTCCTCCCTTGGGGTGAGGGGGCACGGCTCTCCCCGCGCCAGGCGGGGAAGGGTCCCCGACTCCCCCGCGGGGACCAGGCTCACCCTCCCAC